TGATTTCAGAAGCGAATTTTACTATAGGAAAATGTATTGAAATGCTTAGGACCTTTATTGTATTTCGACGCTTAGGTGCTTAGTTATTGTGTAGCCGCTTGATTTGTTATTGTCTCTATGCCAACAGCAAATCAAGGAAATGCCTTTTATGTATTTTAAGTATACGTACATATATGTATGAGTGAATACTCGTATGTGTATAAGTATGGATATGGGCTCCTGTTCTTACGTACGCCATTTTTCGCATAGACACGTACTACAACGTCAAATCGTCAGAAATTGTGTGCTTGTTTGCTTACAGCACCGTTCTATGTAATTCATCTAACACTCGCATGTATATATGTATGTACATATGTGTGTTTGTACAGTATACGCGCTATTTTTGAAGAATGTGAATTTAACGAATCATGAAATACGATAATTGAAGCATGCAGTGTACCATTGTTGAATGGAATAATAAAATCACCCGAACAAAAACAACTACAGGAATAGTAAGAAAATAGCAAAAAGGTGGCAAAGTAACAATGAACAGCAACACTCAAGTTAACAATAGTTTGAAAAGTTTAGGACTAGCTGCCAAGGTGGCAACCAAGTAGAGCTAACTGACTTAAGCCTGAAACACATTGGAAACGACGGGCTACGAACCACAGCTGTCAAATTATTTTGACACGTATTTACTCTTATGTAGATAATTATTTTGACGACGACACGGCAACACTGCGACTAGCCAAAAATGTAGCTGTGCCCAGATTTGATCTATTTCTATTTTTCTACCGACAGATAAGATTCTTCCTCTTCTTTTATGTCAAACTCAAACGCTGTCGCCGTCGACAAGGCGTTTAGATTACGTAGATAAAATCTTAATGGCGTGTGGTGTCGTGTGGTGCGGTCATTTTCGATGTGTTCAGAGCTTTAGAATGCTCACATTTCCTGAAACGTATGCACGGACATACATATATTCATAAGACAAATACGAGTGTATAGATAGATCTATGAATATGCGAATGGCCTTCGAAGAAATCGTTAGAAATGTTTTGAATTGCAGAATTTGTGTTTTTCACGCTTACTTCGAAAAGTTTGCGTCCAGCAAAGGTACCTACTCATATTGTGCAAGTTTTGCTCTGAGAAAGATGGAGAGAGAGAGAGAAGGACATGTGCGTGAATAGCAAGCAGAATTGTTTGACAGTGTGGTATCTTTCTATTGAATTAGCTCTGAGGTGGCAAATATGAAATGAAATTGAATTTTTATTTTTTTTTTGCCTTTTTAGTCGATATGAATAGGTAGATGGCCTTCGAAGCTGGTTGGCAATTTGTGTGCCACAAAGGGCACAAGTCATTGGTAGCGGCAAGTTTGCCAAAGTTTTAGAAACTAGTTTGCAAGTGACTTTCAAATTCACTTTTATGCTCAACTTTGTTACGAGATGAGGTTGCTTAAATTAAAACTTGTGAAAATTACTAGGGTAGATATAGGAAATGAAAAAAACAACAACATATTTTTGAGTTTTAGTTTAACCCTTTACTGCATGCTATACTAACTTCCAGGTGCTTTCCGGCTTTTGATTGTAGGAAATGTGGGTAAATTTTGCTCTTGTGCACATGTTTACTACCCAAATAGCTTTATTCTTATAAATTTTAGTTTTATTCGCATAAATACGGCCTCACAAAAAAGTCCCATGGTGCCTATAAATACATATTCTGATAAATTAGATAAAAATAAATATTGACAGAAATATATATTAGTGTATTGCTGATAAAAATATCGAAAATTGTCGACAAATCTTTCGATGAAATTGTAAAGAAAAATCGAAAAAAAGAATAGCATTGAAAAAAAATATATACATATACATATATACTAGCCGGCCACGCGTTGAATATATGCATATGTATGTACACCCAATAAACATTTTGGCGAACGTTCGAAAATGACCTTCGATATCCAATATAAATATCGAACTGAGAACCAACTCATAACCAACCTTAGTTTTACAACGTTTATAGTATATTGGAAATACACTCGAGATGGGTTCGAAAAAAAAAATGGAATCCATAGTAACAAGAGAGAAAGTGATATCCAGCTCATTCTCGCAGAGAAATATAAGAAAATCACGCTCTCTCATTAAAATTCCAATTCGATAATGGACGGGATTTTGAATTCATAACGAAAGAAAAATACATACATTGATTAACGAAGGTTCCGTTTTGCTGGACAATGGCCTAGTTCTCGAATCGAATACTAACCTATTTCATATTCGTTATCGAAGGTGAGACTCGAAAAGCGGATTCGTTTTCGAATCATTTTCGAATTGTTAACCAGGCCGAATATTTATTAGGCATTTACGTATTTGGAGAAAGAAAGCATATCGATGGCTGAGTGGAAGATCGACCTATCTCGGCAGCCAGATCGAAAACGCTCTATCTCAAAAAACTTTTCAAGAACGCCCTATTTCAGAACTTAATTTAAAAACACCCTATCTCAAACTTCGGTTCAAAGACGCCCTATGTAACTTCAAAATGTATTGAAAATATGCTGAACTGGCTGCTGAGATAGGTCGATCTTCCACTCAGCCATCGATATGTCATCATGTGCTTCGTTTATTATATACATAAGAAATCTTGTCTAAAACCGTTCAGTAGAGCCTTTCCTTTATACTATGTACGGAAAATAGTAATTTTAAATAGGTGGCAACCCTACCCAAAAAAACTTAAAGTTTTTGCACATGCGAAGGCCATGCACTTTTTTTGGTATCTCATTTTTTCATCCAACGAACGGTCAAGATCTTATAGTTTTTATTAAAAAACAGGTGGCAACCCTATTCAGAAAAATAATACATTATTACACATCCAGAGGCTAAGTCTTTTCATTTGACAGTGACGGTGCAGAACTACGCTTATTAGAGTTGAATATAGTAGCTTTCTTAACAGTTGGCAACCCTATTAAAATTCTAAAATCCGTGTAGTGGTTTTCGAGATTACCGCGTACATATATGTATAATCGAAAACAGAAAAAAGTACGTATATCGATAAAAATGTCACGAAATTAAAGATTAAAATGTCCCTTAAATCATAAATCGATTAAACATTAAAAACTAAATTTAATTAAATTTTTTCTATGAATAAAAAAAATTAAACGAAACAAAATGTAATTATACGATACTTAAAAATTATCGATTACAGCATAAATAAATACCGATGGGCGTTTCTACGTATTATCTATACAAATATTGAAAAATAAATTATAATAAAAATATCAATAATTTATCGATAACAGTTTCAAAAAAAAAAATTTAATTTAAGATATACATATATATTGATGAAATAAACATACATACCTATATTTCTAAAATTATCGGTCGCAGTATCGATAACTATTATCGGCAATTGCTACTTGCATTAACCGGAAGTCAATTGAGATGGTTGTTTTTATTCAAGCATATAGAAAAGTAAGTATGCATATCCTCGGACCGAGGCAAAAGAACTCTTACTTACCGAACATTTTGAAAAATTAAAAAAAAGTTTTTCATAATGAAAATAAGTAAGTAAGTATGTACGTTTATTATTTTATTTAATACACGCAAGCATTTTCTTTAACCTGCCAGGTTTTATTTTATTTTTTTTTATTTCCTTAGACTTAATTTATGCTGAACTACTTAAATGTATGTAAGTTATGTCTCCGTTAACTTTTATACCTTCATATATATACACATTTCCATATCTAACTACTTATGTATGTACATACATATGTGTGTATACTAGCTAACTAGTAATAGCAGGAAACCAAGGTACTTAAGTAGTTTAGCGTATAAATTATGAGGATATAATTCATTTAAATTTATATGTCCGAGTTGATGGAACGATTGATTGATCGGTCGCAGTGTTAGTGGGTACACAATGAATTGCTTAAAATATAGACGCAAAGTGTCAGTTAAATAGTACATTCATACATTAAACGGCATACATACATACATACATACAAAAAATTTTATATAAACTAAGGAGTGCATTACTAACATATTGTAACTGCTCTTTGGCAGCTGCCTCATTTTTATGTTTTACAATATTTTCTTTACGCTGTTTTCTGACGCTGTTTTTCTGACTTTTTTCTTCGCTGCTAACGGGTGATTTTTTTGAGGTTAGGATTTTCATGCATTAGTATTTGACAGATCACGTGGGATTTCAGACATGGTGTCAAAGAGAAAGATGCTCAGTATGCTTTGACATTTCATCATGAATAGACTTACTAACGAGCAACGCTTGCAAATCATTGAATTTTATTACCAAAATCAGTGTTCGGTTCGAAATGTGTTTCGCAAACCCAATTGCTGCGAACGGCGACGAATCGACATTTCACGGTCTTCAGCAACACTCTCAGAAACAGACGCAATATTCTCTTCTGTACGCACTGTACGCATTCGTGTGGTTGGTTTAATGTCCAATAAAGTAAACTGAGTGCGAAACTTGGTCACAATCGCATTAATTGTTTGCTCACTTGGTCGATTATGTAGACCATAAATCGGACGTAAAGCGAACCGAACACTGATTTTGGTAATAAAATTCAATGATTTGCAAGCGTTGCTCGTTAGTAAGTCTATTCATGATGAAATGTCAAAGCATACTGAGCATCTTTCTCTTTGACACCATGTCTGAAATCCCACGTGATCTGTCAAATACTAATGCATGAAAATCCTAACCTCAAAAAAATCACCCGTTACTTAAACTGATATCGGTGTTGTTATTGCTGCTGTTACTATTGTTTCTTATTGCTTTTGTTTTTTTGTAATTTTCTTTATTTTTTATTTTTTTTCTTGTGCAGTAAGTAGCTGCTGCTGTTTTTTTCCCTAGTTGATGTTTTGGTTGTTGCACCACAGCTCAGCCAAAGGGGAACAAACTCCAACAGCGCCAACACACTCCCATTTATACACATATTTACATATGTATTTACATATGCATATATGTACATATATTTTTTAGTAGATATATGCTCCTTATAGAAATATACATACATATGTACGTATTTCCAAGCTCGGTTGCTGGTGACTCACTCACACGTCAACTCGCGCCTGCTGTTGTTGCCTTCGTACGCGGCATGCAACTACAGAGCAAAGGCACGCGGCGGCCGCTGTCGCTACTGGCTACTTGCTCTGGCGCTGTCACGCTGGCTGATGTTGCCATATCGAGCCGAACCTACTTAAATACACATGCACATACATGTGTGCTTGAAACACTGCGGACGCCACTGTAGCTGAGAAAATTGCAATGCCTTTTTGGTGCTTTCAGATTTGGCCACTTTTTGTTGCACAATAATAGATAGTCAATGGTGAATTTTTTGGCCTTTTTACTTAAAAACACTTTTTTCGGCTTGATGGTTGGTTGGCTGCTTGGCCCGTAATTATGTACGGTTATTGAAGGCTGCTTAGCTTTTGTTGTTTTTGTTTGGTGCTTTTGTTGCAAATATCATATGTGCTTTAGTGTTACTCGCATGCAGACTTCATTTACGTCAGCGAACATGGGCGTAGTGTAGGGGGGTTCAAGGGGGTCGCAGAGTCACTTTTGAAAAATATCAATATTTTGCTGCTCAGCCTACGATACATGTTTAAAAGCTTCTTGTTTGTAGGAAGGGGTCCGGACCCTCTCATGATTCTCAATTTTTATTTTTTCAATTATCGTTGGCGCATTTTCCAATAGAAAGCCGCTCTTTTACACCACCTTAGGTTTAAAAACTCTCAGAATTCCACTCGCACTTTAACCACGCTTCCGCTCCCTCATCGTTTTTTTTTTTTGCACATTTAGCCGCGTGCAAAAAGGGGGCGTTTTTCTACGTCACTCTTATCACAATGCTTGCCGACATGTGATGTGTTTACAGATTTGTTCCGCCATCAATTTCGCAGTTTCGCTTCTCCTTCCTCATTCCCGCGTGCCACAATGCACGCTCCCTCCACCACGGCGCTGCGCATTGTTTGCAATTACGTTGGCAAAACAACCGCCTGCAGTTTCCATTCACAGTCCCCGCCACCGCCGCCGCCGCCTATGCTGCCGCGCTCCATTAAATGCTCCTTCACTTGTTCGTGCAACTGTTGTTTTTCGTGCTTCTCGTGCTCCTCGTGCGCTATTGCCAGCAATTGTTGCTGCTGCAAGTTGGTAACACTGCCACTAGCCGCCACTAATAGCATGCGACTGCGCGCATCATGCGGCGTCAGGAGTTGATGTGATGACGCGAGTGGTTGGTGGTGCGCATGCGGGCGCTGTTGATGGTTTGTCACCTTGTACTGCTGCTGCTGCGCTTGATGTTTCTTATGCTTCTGCGTCGTACACGCTTCCGCAAAGTTCGCACGCAGCATGCGCCCTACATAGACTGCTGTCAAGACGGCGTACACAAGTCCCAACAACGCGCCTGCCAGCACGTCCGACCAGTGATGCCAGTAGTCGCGTACGCGGCTCAGCGCGATATAACAGCCCACCAACAGCAACAGGAACTGTAGTATGTGACGTAGCACGCGCGTAGTGCCACGTCCATGCCACACCGCGTGCAAATAGAAACATAACAGCAACATGGCGTAGAAGGCGAGCGATGAGTGTGCGCTCGGGAAGGACACGTGCAGTTCGCGCAGCTGACGCGCGCTCAAATTGCGATTGGAGCAGTAGTAGTGTTCAACGTAGACGCCGCCGCCCACTAGCTGCTGGTAGGCACTCTCGCAGGAGCTTCCGTCGGCCAAGCGCGGCTGGCAGGCGGTGTAGAAGTGCGGACGCAGGCGGCCCACCACATTTTTGCCCAACTCTGTGGTCAGATAGGTGGCGATGAAGCCGTAACTGAAGGTCGCCAAACTGCGCGCCAGGTTGGTGATGTACTTGCGCAATCGAAAACACTTGCAGATGCGCATTATTTCAACGACGCTGATGAAGAGCATGGGAAGCAGTAGCGTGTAGATCAGCAGCATGGGTATGGTGATCGTGCACTCGCGATAGGGATAGCGCAGCGAGAGATCGGCGCAGAAGAAGCCGCGTTGGAAGGCGCGCATGTTAGCGAGGGTGTGCGGTAGTGGATGGAAAGTGAGTGTCGCAATTGACGACGTTTAGTTGCGAAGGGATTGCGTTGTGATCGGGGGCGTGCGCGTTGCAGCGCCTAGAATTTGTACCACAAATGTGAGCAGCTTTTTGAGGTACAGCGATGAGCTTTCTGACAACGCAGATTTCTTACGGATATTGCTTTTCACTTCACTAGTTCTGGCACAGGGGTTTTCAAAATCTCTTCGATATGTTTATTCACTTCTTAAGTTTTTCTTATTTGTCTGTGTGTGTTTATCTGTTGCTGACAGTTACACTTTGTGCAAATTTCTTTGGCGATAAGAGTCTTTATTTTGCAAACACTTTTTTTAATACTGAATTGTTTTTTACTTTTTCTTACGGCTTTCTACATTTCTTCTCCCAGCAGCCGCACCTTTCGGTTTATTGTTATTTTAGAGCCGATGATTAGGCGATTTTTTCCGCTGTGCAGTCTCTTGGGTAGATCGCCACGGTTGATAAGCAAATTGCGCGTTTTCGTTTTGTATGAATTTTGGTTTCAGCAATAAACCAGCTGGAAATTATTAATGAGGCGATTAATATTTTTGTTTTTAATGATATAAAATTCTTTAATATTTTGTGTTTAATTTATGCATGTATGTATGTGCAGTTTGAGTTCTTGAAAGCACAATTAGAAATAAAAATGTGGTAGCTTTGAAACCGGATATAATCGTAGGCCTTGCGTACAACAAAAACTAACCAATGACTGCTTAATTGCTTCGAGTGGACATTGAAAACTGAGCAATGCGCTTCTACTAACTGATTTTAAGTCCACCTTCTACCTATTGAATTATTTTTATCCAACTTGCAAAGGCGAAAAAATTTAACTATAATGTACTTGGAATCTACATACTTTTTATGGTAAACTTTATATGCTCAGTTTTTAATGAACCAAAAATTCACCATACTAAAAATGTATGTCCAATTTAAAATTTTTTTTAAAAAATTTTCAAAAATAATGTCCATTTATTGAATAAAATGTAGCACACCCAACCCAGTTTTATAATACCAATAATAAATGTCCAATTTTTAAGTTAACAAAGAGTTGTGTTCAGCTATCAATAAGTCAAAATTTATGTTAAGTCTTTAGGTGGACAAAGAAATATGTGCAGTTCTATGAAGATCAAAAATTTATGACCAATTATTGAATGGTCAAAAACTCATGTCCTGTTTTTAAATGGCCATAAATTTTATGTTATTTTAACGCATATTCTTTTTAACCCATCATTTAATGTCAGTTTTTAAATGGAACATAATTTTTAAACAAAAAAAAATGTATGCCCAATTTTTAAATAATAAAAAATTTCAAGCACATTTTCATATCATTTCATATTTCATAATCATTATTTTTTTTTTAGTTTTTTTCTGACATACATTTTCTATAATATGATCTTAAGATATTTAATTCTCGTAATTTTACTACTTTTTCATTTTTCAGATTCTAGTTAAATTTTGTGTTTTACTTTTAAAGTTTTGATTCTTTGGTGTTCTTAGCAATGATTTGACTTAAGTTTTTTAATCCAAAAAATAATATACATACATACATATATTCACAAATATTACTGTGTTAAAAATTATATAATTTTTTTTTTAATATAATTTTGAAGCTTATAGTTTTTCCGCTCATTATATGCAAAAGTTTAAAAATTTTTACGCAATAAATATTAAACTTTTTAACACACGCACAAAAATAATTTTAGCATTTATTTGCAAGTCAGTCACTTTCTTTTAACAAAACATTTCCTCTAGATTATCCTCTTCACTCACTTCCTCATTACTACTGCTACAATGTCATTCGCAAATTTTTCCGGCAACGCGCTTCAACCTTTGACCGCTCTGATACTATTTGTTTTGTCTCATTGAGTTTAATCAATTATACTATTTCTTATTGTTGTCATTAGTTGATATTTATGTATTATTATTATTTTTTCGCACGCCAAAATGATCATCACACGCGCGCGTTCACGCTCAGCAACTGACTGCTGTTTGTCAAAGCGTTTCGCTGGCGATCTAGCCATGGACTAGAGCAGCAACGGACAGCGCAGCGTGTCGACTCAACTGCACACCAGCGTCGGCGCGACAGCGACTTTAACGCCACAGTAGCTGACAGCGCGGCGTCTTAAATGTGGTTAGTCGCACAGCGGCGTGCCGCGTCGCAAGCTGCCTGCACACACCTAAAATAAAAACACACAGCAAAAATGCTGTCAATGGCTGGCGTGAAAATGAATAGCAAAAGTGTAAAACAAAAACAAAAAAAAAAGAACCGCAACTTTGTATTAATATCAAAACAAACCAAGCGCTTTGAAAACTTATTACTCTTAGTGTTTTTGTTAGTTTTGTAACTTTTTTTTTCATATATGTATAATCAGTTTACTTTCCTTTCACTTTGCTCTCAGCTGAGGAACGCCCAACAAGAACTTTTATACTGTTGTTATTAAATTTCAAATCGCTGTCGCGTAAGCCGATATTCTTATCAAAAAGCAGCGACGGCTAGCTAATGGCGACTGCGCCTCCGGCTGCGCTGAACATAGCTAAGGCGATGGTGGAATCAGTAGCGTCGACGCTCGTGCACGGCTCTCAAATCAACGTACATATGTATGTATGCAATTGTATTTTATTTATTGATATTTATGCATGTCGATTTGTTTATTTGTCACACAGTTTGCGCGTTGATAACGTACACCGTCGAGTACTTAATCATCGGAACTTTCAGCCGCTGTCGTAAGCGATAGTGGCGCGCACACCTCAACTGAATTAACTAAGAGTCGTGAGAAATGCGTTGTTGCGCAGTCTAGTGGGTGGGCCACGATGCGCACCTTTTTTTCCTGTGCCATTTAAAAAAAGCAACGTTATAATAATAATGCATACGCCAGTAATGAGAAGACACCAACTAAGTAGTTGACAGTGTAGACGAAAAGTGGTTGGATAGGAGAGGATGAGAGAACAATTTCTCACTCAGAATTTCCTGATTGTACGCGCCGACTTTCGTTCTTTTGGAATTCGCAAGCAGCTTATAGAATTCCTAGTAGGAAAGAGAAAGCTCAGAAACGGTTTATCATCAAATCGACATAAAAATGTGAATTATCTATGGTGGTTTGATGATTAGCGGTGGGAAAATATGAAAAAATCGATGACGCAATTATTCATTTAAGATAGAACGGAGCAAAGGACTACATTGACTATTGATTGGGCATGTTTAAACTAAATACAATCGATTGAAATCGGTTAATATGAATCAATTTGTCGATGATCAATTTGTCGAAATTTAAGAAAAATTATCAAAATATAAGGCTATTGAAAAAGTTCATACCTATCTTACAAGAACCGAAAAACGGTTCTAACGGAACAGAGATTCAATTCCAAAAGAACCAAAAAACGGTTCCGGTAGAACTGAATATCGATTTCAACCGAACCGAAAAATAAATATGTATTACATATCTCTCCAAAATTTGGTTTAGATATGTATGTATGTGTTATTGAGTTCTGAGTTGACCTTATACATTTTTTGTTCGGTTCTAAGCACTATATCATTTAGCCGCCATATACCCGATCTGGGCGACTTTCACCATCTATTTGATACTATCGACTTGAAATTTATTATTATGCTTGCTTTTGTTTCTCATCTTTAACGCTTTCAAATCGCTGTCGGCTGCGATTTGAATGCATCATAAGACCAGCGACAACATCGAAAAAATAATTTTTGTTTTTATGGAAACATTACCTTGTTTTAAATGAAACCTTTACGTGGAAAGCGCTTACTTAGGTACACTTGCAGAACATCCAGAGTTAAATGTATAGATAGAGTTAAGTAGCTCAGAGTTATATTGTTATATTCCTAAACCAGACAATGTCTTGCAGCAGTGAAAACTTGCCCAGAGTTAAGTAACCCGAGGGATTTCTAAATTCAATAAGCACCGCTCTCTCTTTTTTTACATTTGTTTACATTTCTTATTGCATTTTGAATATATAATTTCAACTTACATACACAAAATATTTTTTTTTTTTCATATAACAAATAAGTGATTTCCTATGAAATTCATTAAAGTCTTACACTGCAATTGAATAATTCAGTTTTATTAACTTCTATAAATGAACCTGCAATGGAGTAGCATATTTCCTGTTCATTCTCACATAACGAACGCAACATTTTCTCAGGTTTCAGGGCAACAAAAAGCAAGAGTTCCCATATAAGAGGGCACACTTTTTTTGTTTTTTTGAGAAAAGGAAACGCTATTAATTTCTTAAATTACATATTTTTTAAAAATGTGTCACACAGATATCAACCAAGGAATGAATATAATATATTTATTTTATAACAAAAATATAAAAAGAAAATGGAATTTTTGTAAAAACTTTTTAAAACATTCCATGGAGCTACTTCGATAGGGCCTAGTTCCGTTACCACTTTTTTGAGAATCGAAACCAGTTCAAATTATCGGTTCCCCTTGGAACCGGACCCGGCAGAAATGGTTTTCGTAAATCATTAACAAGCAGTTATAGTTATTTCCGGATCTGATTTTTTAGTTGTATCTCTTTTGAAGCTGCTACAAAGTTCGATGTGGATATTGTGAGGAAGGAGCTATTATTTAGATATTTAGTAAAATAAAAACCAAACACGGAAAGGATCGTTTATTATTTAAATGTTATATTTCCGTTTACTGTAAAAATAAACGATTAACAGAGTTTTATTGTGTTGTTTTATTTTTTGCAAAATATTTAATGGCAGAGATTATCTAATACACGTATGATTACCTAGCAATACGCACATATAATATTGCCCTATTAAAATATTAACGACAAAGAAAGCCGATATCTATTGAATAATTGTAATTAAGTCGTTCATAGCGATTATAGTTAAAAGTGAACTTTGCTAATTTTTTCACGCTTCGAACTATTGTACTACATGCGAATTTGCATAAAACTAGTAGATATAAGAACAATAGGGCGGGTTAATTTGTACGGGAGATTTTTTCGACTATGTGCGTATAGCACAGATAGATTCTACGTGTAATTTGTAGCAAATTTTCCGAAGAAGCTTTGGTTAAAAATCCATTTAGAGTTTTCCAAATAGGTTTTTTGGCATTTTGCTGTAGAAAAAAAAAATATTACCCGCCCTAATGAATATACCACAATATAAGCATTTACTCGCACATTCATAAGTTCATTGTCTAACGCTAATACACATTTAGTATTTGCGCCCAATTTAATCATTCTAGATAGTACAATAACTTTTTCATATGCAAATCGCATACATCAGGTATTCAAAACGGTTCATCAAAATAATAGCATAAATTAGAATTGTATTACATATTTTCCAATTAAAATTAAAACAAACGAAATGCATACCACTTTTGTGGTAAGCCATGAAAAATCATAGAGAGACAAATATGTGTCAAATTGTTGCATGCGAGTACTTGTGTAGACATGTGGCTGCTTATGCATGAGCGCATGCGTATCGATACATTTTAAATTTATAGATTTATAAAAATTCACATTGATTCCACACCTGTTTGAAATATTTATGGGATTCAACATATCAGAGCTTTATGGGTAGATGAAATAAGTAGTCATAAAAATCACACATGAATGCGGCATCGCAACTCTTTCCATGTGCTAAAGAATTGCTTACAAAATATCAGGGCAAAACCAGGTGAAACGAAACATTTTTCCACATTTTTTCTTTATAAAAAAAATTAAACATAAAATAGCATTATGCCGAAACTGGTGTTTTCCAAATGGAATTTAACAAGTCATGACGGAAGTTCGTTCCAAACTACACCCTTCACCTTGGCACTTATCTCGGCATATGACAAAACCAAAGATTATTATAAGTACTCAGTGATCTGAAGCCTTAAGGAGGGTATTGAGGTTCAGGCTAACTGCTTCTCAGCACGGGTTCCATCTTTGATCGAACTTATGCATCTCTTGTCATTCCTAGTTTGATTTTTGCCGCTAACATCGAGCCTAATATATCTTTGGAGTATGAGTTCAGCTTTTTCCAGCCGGAGCCTTTAAAGAAAATACTTAGCAACTTTCAAAGTAGGGCATTCAAGTTAGCGAATAAGGGTTACCCAAAGAGATGCTCTCGAATAAAAAGTGGCATCCGCTTTTGAGTGCGTGGACTTTAATCAGCTTAAAGGAGTAGATAGTCTTAGCTTAAAGCTTTCCGCCAGGTGAGATGCTCTGTAGCTCTAAAGTGTCACCACTTTGTGTGTGGTGAAAAGGTTTGGAAGTAGTATCATTTTTCGTTCAATCAATGCACCGGTTGCTATCTGCTATACGCCAAAAAATGATTTGCTTATCAAAAAAATTACCTGAGTAAACCAGGCTAACTGGTGTTAGAAACTCTGCGATCCTGCAGGATCTACAATTGGCTATTGTCATCTTTCTGTGCTAAAACAGCATTAGCCATAACAGACTGCGAGGGGCAGATGCGTAGGCCTCGGAGAGTTACCAGAACGCGTCTGGAGCCGGAGGTGAAACTCAGCGGCTGGACTATTTCCTTTGTAGCTGTGCAGAATTGGGTATAATTAGATTAAGTGTTTTTGAGCAAACCTTACTTTGATAACCTAAGTAACATAACCTAAGTAACATAACTGTGTGTGTGGTGAGATGCTTAGGTCCTCAAGCTTAATGGATCCATTAGGGGTTTTGGCAATAGAACTGCGTATTTTACTGATTCGACAAAGAAACATTTTTTATATTTGGTTACGTTTAAAGCTGATATTTTCTAGGATGAGGGCCATTACAATTTTTACTAAATTCCCTATTTTATTTATTTTTTGCCATGTTACTTCCATTCAGTCAGAAAATATGCTTCATTAACCACACACAGCAGGTGTATGTATGTGCATTTCGAAGTGTAACTTAGTGTTTCTGGGCTTTGAGTTAATTATATTTGCATTACCTGCACCTTGCTTAACGCAAATGGAAAGAAAAAAAAAATTAATATTGCTTCCCAAGCATATCGCCGTATCGACAACGAAACG